TGAACCCGGGCCGCACGCATGCCAGGAAAGCACGCTACCGCTTGAGCCACATCCCCAGCCCTGTTCGTTTCTTTTGACAAGTGGCTCCTGAATTGTGCCCAGCCAGACTGCGGCATTTGAGAATCTTTCTGTCTCTGATTTCTATAAGATTGATACCTGTTTTGAATGATACTCTTCAATGTTCTCCATAAATTTAGGTGGTTGCTCCTTTCCCAGAAAGCACCTGAAGCCCAGACAGAAGGGCATCATCTAGGAACCCATCTGCATGGGTCCTTTCAGGTCAGCCTCACCATCAGGGGTTGGCTTGCAGGCACAGTTCCAATGCCACAACTATAATGTGAAAATTCAATTTTTTTTTCTCTTTTACTTCTAGATCCTCAAGCTAGGCAGGGTGACCAGAGGAAGGTAAAGAGAAGTCCTCCCCTCCAGGTCTCACACAGCAACAGTAACTGCATGTACAAGGGAAAGGATTTCCCCTATTTTAGGGTCTTTCAGGTGGAGTTACTTTCTGTTGGGTATACCAATCAACTCTGATGGCAAAGAAAGCTGCGCTGTATAGCACAAAGCTGGGATTAAAACAGAGCTCTACAGAGGGACTTCTTATCTATCTTGGTCACCCTAGGCAGCAGTCAGCTATGGAACTTTCCATTAGTCCGTAGAAGCCTAGGCTATTGGCCAAGGCCTAATCACTTGGACCAAAGCAATAATAAAAAGCCCATCCTACATATGGTAGTATACATTTTAAGGTAACGAGGATAAAAATGCCAGTGAACATGTGGAGGAAATTTAGAAACTGCCTCTCACTAGCCTCCCCAGCCCAGCTAGAGGCCTCCTCACCAATATATGTCTTAATTGTTCCGGAGCAGTTGTATCCTCTGGGATCACTCAGGCATTATGGATAGTGCGTAGTCCCAAAGAAAGTAACACATAGCAGCCCCATTTCAGCAATCTCACTGAGTTTGGGGTTCCTTCTTCTGAAACAATGCTTCTCAAATTCTAATGTGTAATGTGCATATGAATATATGGCAATCTTACTAACATTCTGATCCAGAACATCTGGTGGTGGAGTGCTTGCCTGGCGTGGGTGAGGCCCTGGGATTAATCCTCAGCACTGCATATAACTAACTAAATAAATACATAGATAAATAAATAAAAGATCCGTCAACAACTAAAAACATTAAAAAAAGAGAAGAAGGTCTGGATTTTGCCTTGAGATTCTGCAATTTAATGTCTCTCCCAGTGATGCAGATGCTGCTGGTTCACAGGCTACATTTTGAGTAGTGAGGCTCTACCAAGTGCCAAGGAATTTAGGGCTTTCAAAATATTAACTATACAGTCTGAGGTGAGGCCAGGCCTCAATTAGCCAAACCTAGAAAGATATTAACACTCCCAAGACAACTCACTGAATCCCAGCTGAGTGCCAGTGATTTTAGCCAGACCAAGCCTTGATTTAACCCTCCCTCATTTAAGGTCTTTAGTACACATTGCCATGCTTGTTCCCCAGGATCTGCCAATGCACACTGATGATGTGTGCAACTTTTTAATGTACAGACTACCTCCTTGCAGATGGCTTTTGCTTCTGCATCTGGGCTACTTGGGATCTAACTTCCTTGTGTGTGCTGGGGATTGAACCTGGGACCCTGGGCATGCTATGTGTGCACTCTACCATTGAGCTATACCCCCAGTCCCCAGGGTCTAACTCTTATTATGAGGTAAGGCTCTGAGTTCTGAGGAGGATCAATACCAGGTTATGAGACATCTGGCCTAAATGTAGAGTCATTCAGTCAATGGAAGGCCAGTCCCCTTAGGCACAAGTGTGGCTTCCTATTTAAAGATGTTCAGGGAACCAAAGTTCTCAGCATCTGCCCAAATGTCCTTATTCCAGGCCTCAAGGTCCCACTGCTTCCACATCAGTGTCCTTCCCTTGGAGTTAGTGACCTGGTATTGTCGTAAATTTAATTGACATAAAACTCAGCAGTATTTACATTCAGGTCCTTGGCTTAGTACTCAGCCCTATCTGCCCTGCAACTAGAGGAGATGAGGGGTTCCTTCAAGACTGACACCAAGGCATTCTGGTTCCATGGAAGTTCTCAGCTGGATAGTTGCACCTTTGATCTCAATTTGTTTTTCACTGGAATTGTTTCTTAGATCTCTCAGAAAAAGTTCAAGAATCTTTATAATTTATATTGTTGCCATAGAAACCAAATGTCGCAGTCACTTGAACTCCAAGAAACTTGCCTTCCATCTTCAGTTCATTCTGATGGTAATTGGTGTTATCTGATGCCACCACATAGGTGTGTAAACTGCTAACAAATGATGTAAAAGGAATCTACCAAAGTCATATAGACCTCTTCCTGGAGGGAAGAGGAGAGAAATTGGATGTGAAAGAAGGAAGTGGAATTCCATTTAAGATGCAATGTTTTATGACTTTTAATTTTTTAAAAAAGTTTGAAGCCAATATGAAAACAGCATTTATAAATTCTATATGGTAAAGATTTATTATGATATGATTGCATTTTCCATTTTTTTTTCAAATTTTGACATACTTCATTCCCAACACAGAACTATATAACATTATGATATTGAAGGGTTTATCCAAGGATTCAGGTTGATCGAAAAATGAGAAAGGAATTCATAAAACCACTACAACAAGTAAAATACACATAGCAAAATCACTTCAAAATTACTACATGGTACAGAACCCAAACTCATAAAAAGCAAAGGGTGTCTTTTTCTCCCTCTGGCACCTATTTGTATTTCCCAAAACACTTCCTAGTCTTTTAGGTATACTTCCAAAGACACTTAATGCATTCACAAGTGCAAACATATATCAATTCTATAAGCATAAGATGGATATTATTGGGAATGTTGCATGTTCACTATACAATATACCTTAAAGATGATCCCACATTAATACATATACAAATCCCCCTTTTATGGCTTCTTAGTATTGATTTGTCATAATCTATTAGGCACTCTGGGTAGTTATTTACTATTTTGCTACTTTCTGTTACTAGAAATCAAGTGAAATTCCATACTTCTCTACAGAAGTCATTTTACCCATATTTGAGTATCTATACAGAATACATTCCCAAAAGAGAAATTACTAGGTAAAGGGATATATACATTTAAATTTCTGACAACCACTGCCAGATTGTTCTCTACAGAAGTGGTATTAATTTCTAAAAAAATATGAAGATGCTTTTCTTCCTGTCAAGTAGTATGCTATCATACTTAATTATTTTGTCAATTGGTATTTCTGCCATCATGAATGACTGTCTCCATATGTTTAGGAACTATTCTAAATTCCTTTTCCACCTGTCATTTTCTTTGCCCATTTTTCTTTTCAGGATCTTAGAATTTTTCTCTTCCATTTATAGGAATATTTTTTGGTTTTGGGTGGTACTGGGGAATGGGACCCAGAGGCACTCTACCCCTGGGCTAGATTCCCCAGCCCTTTTAATTTTGAGACATAGTCTCACTGATTTTTCCAGGCTGGCCTTGAACCTGGGATCCTCCTGCCTCAGCTTTCTGAGTCACGGTGACTGCAGGCATGTACCACTGCCCCCAGCTTAAGAAGTTTAAAATCAACAAGGAATTAACTATTTGTGACACTTGCTGCTGATATTTTCCCAGTGCATTGCTTCTTGCACTTTTTAATGGTATTTTTTCCTACAAAGATAATTTTCTACTTGAAATAGTTATTATTTCCTATTCTAGTTTCTGGTGGGAGCCACAGACTTTTCCTATGCTGAAATTCTGGAGCAAGAGGTTAGTAATATATTCCAACTTAGCTGTAATTCATTCCATAATCACCTAAGTCCGTGTTTTCTTGTGAATGTGTCTGAAAAAAATATTTTTGGGGGGTACCAGGGATGGAACTCATGAGCACTTGACCACTGAGATGCATCTCCAGCACTATTTTGTATTTTATTTAGAGACAAGGTCTCATTGAGTTGCTTTGTGCCTCAATTTGGCTGAGGCTGACTTTGAACTCAAGATCCTCCTGTGTGAGCCTCCTGAGCTGCAGGGATTACAAGTGTGTGCCACTGCGCCTGGCTGTGTCTAAAATTCTTCAAAGTAAAGTTCTTAATATTGTAACTAGCTGCCAGAAATGAACCAATTGTAGCTTTAAGTTTATACTCTTACAATGAGAAATTTAGGTTTCCTTATTAGGAAATAAAAAGGTCTTACTATTCTTAATAGAAAATTAACTGAATTTTTTAGTTACTGTCTCTGAAAAAAAATGTGGATTTATTTGCCTTTAAATATTGGGAGAGTTTCCTAGAGACCCAGGACAAATGAGGGATTCACATTTTGTAGTAGTGGCCTTTCAAAAAATAAGGATATTAAATTTACTCTATAATTTCATTGGTTATTAAATTAAGTGGAAAACAAAATATAACCTTTGAGTTCAGTACATTCATTCCCCTTTAGTCTTCAATCATCTTAAACAAACAGTGCTTCCCTAGAGGACTGTGGCAATCTTTTCTTTCTTTTTTTTAAATTGTTTCTTTTTAGTTATACCGGCAGCAGAATTCATTTCGATTCTAGTTAGAATCCCATTGTTATGGAGGTGGGATTCACTGTGCTGCCTTTATATTTGTACATGGGAAATTATGTCAGATTCATTCCACTGTCTTTCCTTTTCCTGTCTTCCCTTATTTTCCCTCCATTCCACATTGCCTAATCCACTGAACTTCTATTCTTCTCCTAACCACCCCCCCTCTTATTGTGGATTTAGTTCCCACAAACCAGAGAACACATTCAACCTTTGATTTTTAGAGACTGGATTATTTCGCTTAGAACGAGAGTCTCCAGATCCATCCATTTGCTGGCAAGTGTCATAAAGTCATTCTTTTTTATAGCTGAGTAACACTCCATTGTGTATATATACCACGTTTTCTTTAACCACTCATCTATTGAAGGGCACCTAGGTTAATTTCATAGCTTAGCTACTGTGAATTGAGCTGCTGTAAACAGTGATGTGACGATCTTACCTTACGTACCAACAGACTTATGTTCACAGAATGCCCAAGAAAATATTGTTGTGCCCTTTGTCTTGTTTGGAGATACAGATGTTGCACGGGGAAAGGACCTGGCACTGGGACCTCGTCTCTTACCTACAGGTGTCCCAAGGGCTTTGCTTTCATGAGCCATGCTGCAGTGTTCGAAGATGGTGCCAATCTGGAGGGTAGAGGGAATGCCTAACTGTGAGAAGAAAGACTCAGCCTGACTCATGCACAGATTAAATTTATTTGGGACACAAGAGCTTTAGAAAGCAGTCACCCCACCATTGTAGATCTTCCAAGGATAGGGAATAGCCGAGCCTGGGATTCATGGATTCACAAGAAATCTTCTGGGCTGGTCACCAGGTACACTTGTCAATCTCCACTCACCTTTTGAGATTGGTAATCCTTTAAAATTAAATGGGATTCCTTTAAAATTAAAAGCCCCACATTATTATTTTTCTTCATCATTTTCTAATAACCTGTATGTCCATCCCGACTTCCTCATGCAAAGAATGGAAACTGAGGAATTGCTCCCAAATCCTGGACAGGCACCAGCAGAGGTTAAACAACCAGAATAATATTCTCAGGCTAGTAAGGCCTGGTAACTCCCTGGCTTTTGTTCCAATAAGTTGTGTTTCTGTAAGACAAACGGATACAAAGTAGCTGCCTTCCCAGTTTTGGCTGAATGGTGATTACATTCATTTTTTTTTCTTTTTATGTTTCCTCTTATTTCTGATGCAGGGGGGCAACTGAATCCAGTGTACTAGAAACCCAGCAGGGCCTCTGGCTGGGGAACCAGTGACAACATGGCTGCCAGAGCCACTCTTCTGAAACACAAGTTTGATCAGGACATTTCCTCTGCTTAGAAACTGCCGGCTGCTTAGCACTGACACTGTGGTAGGCATGCTCACCGCTCTTTGGACGAGGACTTGTTGTAGTGTCCCTCCCCACAACCTCCACCCCCACGGTGACATCTACCCATTACCATCATTTTTCCATCTTCCAGGAAAGCTCCTTTCTCCCACCAGCTGGACTGCCCTTCCATGTCTAGCAGATTATGTGCATCTTCAAGCTCTCGCTTCGATGTTCTCCACTCTCTAACGACTGCCCCACACACCCCCACACTCTTTGCTCCCACAGAACTTAGTAGAAATCTAAACAAAGCACCAGGTTGTGATACGGGTTTGTTCCCCAACGTGGTTTATGTTGGCCTTTTTATCTCAACTCCAGCCCATGCCTGCCTGACAGAGGAGGTACTCAAATACACTGGTGTTCCCATTTCTTCCCTTCTTCCTCCTAGGATCACCTATTTTCCTGGAAGAGTTAAGGTACTTCGGTTGGGGTAGAGGAAAGAGAGTGAGAAATCCTGGTTCATGTCCTTGTGAATCTAAGGTCACGGTTACTTGTCTCACTTGAGCTCCTTGGGGCTGTCATTGAATAGGGCTTCTCTTCTAGGACAGGGCTATAGATAATGCAACCAGGTTGTCTTTCTATCATTTGCTTCCAACTTCTCTCTCCTGGGGTCATGCAGACTTTTGAGAGCAGTGGACAAGGCGGCATCTGTCTGCCCTAGAAAAGCCCACCAGGAACTGGTCTGCCCGCATGGAGCCCTTGACTGGTTTATACTCACTTTGAAAACAGCGTCCTGGCAGGTATGACCACAGCCATTGCTGCAGCACTTCATTCCCCTGGGACATGAATCATCTCCTGTGCACCTTTCAACACAAATCCCATAGACTCCTTCAGGCACTTCAGGGCATTCTCCATAGTCTTGCAGTTCTGAAATGAACAATGGTGTTTTTGGAACCTGGAGCGGTCACTAGGACAGAGAGGAGAACTTATGCTGGAGGTCTGAAGCCCTCACCACAGGACTCCGGCTTCTTCCTTTCCTTCCTTGGTGCTCCTGGACCCCCTCAGATTCATCAGCACCACTGTCACTCTTAAGTCCTTATGCTCAGAGTCTAGCCCTTGAGAGAATGTTCTTGGAGCTCTAAAGCCTGCAGAGACTCAACAGGAAAGGAACCTGCACTGTCATCCTGGAAAACCTCTGTTGTAAGACAGCCACCTGCCTACCCTGCACAAATCTGCGTTCACCTCAGAGCAACTGCCCCTGGGAGTCACATCTAGGGTACATCTGCTAGTTAGGGAGACCCCTGCCCCATTCTCTACACCCAGCTTCTGTTGAACTCTACTCACTCTCATAAGGATGGGAAATGCAGGGTAATCTCTCCTACAGATCAAAGGAAATAAGTCTGATTCATGCAGTGGGCATGTGCCTGCCTCCCAGACTACCTCCAGGCTCCAGACTGGGCTCCCAGCCTTCTTGCCTCTCAACTGGTATCCCCTCAGCTCACCTTGGGAAGGAAAATAAGTCCGGGCACAGACCATGTCCATTCCCAGGGTGACAAAACCCACCAGGACCAAGACTGTGGCTGCCTTCATGTTGGCTTCTGCTAAGCCGCGAAGATACACAACAATTTATACTGTGCCACCTGAGAGGAAGGCTGTGAGGGAGGCAGCAGAGCAGGAAGTTCGAAAAAACACAAGGTCTCCAGGGAGTGCCCCCAGGGGATCTAGTTCCTTTGTTCACAAGAACTTTCAAATTAAAGTGTTGTTTCTTGGCAGGTGGAAATGCCAAACTTGAGATACTCAAGAACACATTTTAGCAGGTTGGCACTAGTTTTCCCGGTGACAGGAAATGGTAACAAAGAAATGAATGGTGTAATTTAGAATCTTCAGAGTGAGAACTTAAACTTTGAAACCAGGTGTGGACTGGAAGGCTGATCTGGGGCCTCCAGGAGGTCCAGTTATGTCAGAATGTGACCAGGATCCTCCTATTGAAGTCTGAATCTGGAGGGCCCCCCAAAAGCCAGATCTGGCCACTCTCCCCCTCAAAATAAACAGGAAAGGTAACAGTGAAAAGCGGGAAAGGAACATTAATAGATCCAGCAGCTCAGCACTGTCTTCACATTGTCTTTAAGTCTATAGCTCACGTGAGTCTATAGACTTAAAGAGAGTCCGATTTGGGCCCGAGTGGAAGGGATGCAACATTCAGCAGATGTGGCCAAACTGGGGTCAGGCTCCTTGTTATTTCAGTTCTGGTTCTGCGTCTTTATTGCTTGAGGACAGTTTCCACTTATTACTCAGGATGTTTATCTGTCACACCTGAGACCCAGGAAGGTCAATTCTGTTTCTATGAGATGATTGTTCCTGCTTAGCCGGGCAGCCCCATCTTGGGGTGATTTCCTGGCAGGTGTAGAAGGACAGCTACTGAAGACTTCCAAGGTGCCATGGCAGGGATCTGAAACAGGATGCTGTAAAAGGTGACAGTTGAATGTCCCTGGAAATCATGAATTGGTCTTGAAGGTTGGGGGGCGAGCTAGGTGAGGCAAATTTAGGGTTAACAAACCTGTATTGCTAGTTTTTAGATGAACAGTCCTTAGATGATTAACATGCCCTCATGAGGAGCTGATCAGGGATCTGGCCCAATATTTAGGGTAATGAAGGGGACAGATATTAAAAATGAAGGCAGAGATGCCAAGTTTTATCCTGTTTTTAGTTACTTATTGGATAGGTCTTCTCAATGAAGAATTGATGCTTTTAGCAAAAGGCAGCCTCTCTGAGTCCCTGTTATAAGAATTCGTCACGTTTCTGGGAAATGGGAAATGTGTGCTTTGAGATATTGACAAGCCCCAAGGCTGAGTTCACAAAGCAGGGCTGAGTGGAAAACAAGCCACCTGCTGAAGGAGTGACAGGAGGGAGTGAAGTCAACCCCTGAGGGGATGGATGCTCAAAGATCACAAGCTGGCTGGACCTTGCCGGTTGGTGTTCTCTGACCTACTGTGCCCTGTACTGAGAGGTTCCTACAGAGAGGGCTGCATAGGTAGCTACCAGGGGGCTGAGCTACAGGAGAATATAGAATGTCCCAGAAACCTGAGCAGCAAGCTTGTTCTTTCCTATCCCAATTATAGAATTTCAAAGAGCTGTAGAAATCCCTATGGTTGTGGGAGAAGGGAGTGAGTAAAGTTGGCTTTGTCCTTCGTGGTCAGAACTTGGACAAGTACTGATGACCACCAGTGGACATCCACTGTTGGAGCAGAGAAATACTAAGAAAACCAAAGGGAAGAGCTCTGAAGGCCACTTTTGAACCCCTACGCAAAGAAAAGGCCACCAACTCCAATTTTAAATCAAATTAAAGCAAGCTTATATTTGTGTATACAAAGAGAGATGATCAGCAGCTGTCTCTCCTAACACAGGCTAGAGACCAGCACCCCAGCTCTCCAGGAACAAGGTTTTGTAGCACAAAGTTGCAAAGCGGGTGTCTTGAGAACTTACAGCTAACAGGATTTTGACAAGCATAATACAAAGGCAGATAGAAGGTTAATGATCTACATGACATGATATTTCGAGGTAGAGAGTAAATTCAGATCCCAACATTAGAATTTATGAGGCACCACTGAGGTTTCAGAAAGGGTTGTTATTGAAAGGAAAGTGACCACAACACTTGTAGCGACCAAGAGATCTTTATTGCAGCAGTGTAACAGAGGAGAAAAGAGAGAAAGAGAAGTGTGGGGGTGGGCAGGGGAAGGCTTTTATAGCCCTTCTGCTGTGCTACCTAAATCTAACAGGGTCTCTGGGTTTGCAAGCTGCCTTGTTGGCACAAGGCGGGTTAAGTGTTCAGCCTTGAGCATGGGGGTGAAGCATTCAGCCTTGAGCAGAGGCTTGGGCATTTGGGCTTGAAGCAAACAGGTGATAAAGAACCAGACAGAGGGTTTGAGTGGCCAGGTCATCCTGCAGCTAACTTTGTTTGGCATGCCCTGTAGACCAGACTGTCCTTCACCTAACATTCCTCCCTTTTTGTTTTCTAAGTGACATGGGGGACTGCGTAAAATCCTCTAGCTACTTCCTGCTTAATGGTGGGCAGCATGGGACCTAGAAGGGAAAGTGGAAGAATGTTCGGGGGACAGGTCTGAGAAGACCAGGGCAGCCAGAAATAACACCCAGTGGCTATAGACAACTACTTTGGTAGGGGTAAAGTCCATAAAAGTTCCTTGAAGCCACAAGTTGTAGATGGCATCAAACCAGTCCTGGATGGAGGAGATTCTTGGTATCAGCCACTGGTCCTGTAGCAAGGACTCTAGGAAGTATTGGAGGTGGCTTGGTTGAATCCAGTAATGTTAAGGGTGACAGCCCGATTGCAGCCAGTGGAAAGACAATCAGCTTGACCCATAAACTGAGAGTGGGTGGTGTCATCCTGGTGCCATGTCGCTTGGATGTTAATGCGCCATCTGTGGTTGGGATGGAAACTTAAGGGAGATTAATGATTAGTAAAAGAAGACTAGGGTTGGTGAGAAATTTTGAGTTTGGTGGGCGTGGTGGAAGTCCAGGACTGGACATTTGTAACAGGTACCTTTTTAAGGTAGGAGAAATGGTACCAGAGAGTGTCTAAATGCTTGGTCACCATTGGGGTAGTAAGTATGAGTGTATGGGGTCCCGTCCAGGGAGGTTCCAACGATTGAGAATGCAGTTCCTGAAGTAAGACTGAGTCACCCAGTTGAAGAGGGTCCAATTCAGTTTGTGGTTGTGCTGGGATTGAGGCAATGAATGGTGCAGGAAGACACTGGTCTGCATGTTCCCTTAGGAGTTTGTGTAGAAGTGTGAGATAGGACAGGTAGGACACAAGGGGAGGAGGAGTGATTGGAAAGCTTTGGGTGGTTAAGAAAGGGCATCCATAGAATTGCTAAAAGGGGCTAAGGCCTGAGGGGGCCCTTGGGGCTGCCTGAATTCAGGTGAGGGCCAATGGTAGGAGATTGGGCCAGAAAAGCCTGAGTTCAATAGCAAGTTTAGTGAGATGATCCTTGAGAATGCTGTTAGGCCTGTCAACTTTACCCAAGGATTGGGGTTGGTATGGGATATGGAGCCTCCAAGTGATGTTGAGGCCTTTGGAGACTATTGAACAACCTGAGAAGTGAGGGCCGGACTGTTGTCTGACTGGATGGAGGCGGGAAGTCTGAATCTGGGAATGATCTGCTGGATGAGGATGGAGGTGACGGTGTCAGCAGTTTCCCTGGATGTAGGGGAGGCTTCTATCCAACCTGAAAAAGTATCAACCAAAGTAAGTAGGTAGCGAAGCCTTTTTGGGCCTAGGCATGTGAGTGAAGTTGATCTACCAGTCTTCGCCTGGCTAGTGGCTCCTCATCTGATGTGTGGGGAGTTTAGGTTTGTTGCTTCCTTGTGGGGATACTGTAGAGCAGACTGAACAAGCAGAGTGGACCTGCTGGAGAGTAGTTCTCATTCTTAGGAAGTGAAAGAGGGGTTGTAAAATCTGGAAAAGGGGCTAGAGAGGGTTTTAGGTAGGGGCAGAGTCTCTGGAGCTAGAGGAGTTGGTCATGAGTGGTAGGTCTCTGTCTTGGGCATCAGGGGCTGGTAGTTTTAAAGAAGTAGTTGTTTGACTGACTGGTTGGTGAATTTGTGTATCTGATCTTGCAGGAACTTCTGTAGTTAATTTAATAGACATGGTCCTATTAGGAGAAACATAAAGAGGACTAATAGGGGTCCTGTGAGGAGGAGGAGCCAAGGCCATACTTGATTGAACATTCCCCATGGAGCCGGTTGGCCTAGTTGCTGTCTCCTCTTTTCTAGCTGTTTTTGTCCTTCATTACTCCTAGGAATAACTGTGTTTTGGCTTAACTGTTTTTGGTAGGTGTTTAAGATCAAGCTGGTCAAAATTGACTTTGTTTCTATCTATTGTTAAGAGTCAGCCAAGTTCCCATAGGGGTCGCTCCTGGGGGAACTTGAGAGCAGCTTCTTAGTTCTGCTAGTGCCATTTGCGCTAAGATGGGTCCAGGTATTGCTTGACCATGTGGCTTCCCTTGGAAGCATCAGGGATGTCTCCCTTCTCCGATGACCCTCCTCTTCATAGCAAATGCACTGATTGGCTTTTCATTCTCCAGTGGTCTCATTAATCTCCCTGATCAGGAGGTTATGTGGCCCAGAGTTGCAAAGCTCTTTAGAGAAGTTCCCTGTTCCCTAGATTCAGACTGACTCAGAGGGCAAGAGCCAAATATTGTTTTCTAGGCCATTTTAATTTAAGTTTAAGTCTTGATCTTAAATATCCAGCAAAGTCAGTTTCACCTTAAATTAAGAGTATTGGGCTTTAGCTGAAGTCTGACCAACTTTGGAGTCATTCTGACATGTAGTAAGATGGGAGGCACAGCCTTATCTCAGGTAAGGTAGGGCTCTTTATAAATCTTAGGTAAAGTGTTCTAGTATTGAAGCTGATCTTTGTTTTTAAATATAATTTTATAAAGTTTACATATATTGTTGCTTGAGGTCACATGAATACTAGCTAACAAAATATATTACATTTAAATTGTATCCATTTTATAGAACTTTATATTAATCTTATTGATAACAGGTCCAGTTATAGAAAATTAAATGATATAAATAAATCTCCAATATGTTATTTTTATAAGCCTAAAATTACCATGCAACCTTTTGGAGAATAC